CTGTACTGGGCTGCACAGCTTCCTTTTCGGGGCTCTTGGTGTTGGAGACCTCCTGCTTGGGCTCTGAAGGAGCTGGAGGGCTGCTGAGGTTTGCAGGGCTGGGGGCAGCTGGCTTGTTGCCCGCCGCCGCTTTGGAGGTCTCGGCCGCGTTAGCCACGGTGCTGGGGCTCAGCACTGCCCCTTGGGTGGACAGGACACTTGAAGACAAGTTATTAGTAGCTGGAGCAGAGCTTGGGGTATCGCTGAGATCAACAAGAGGGGCCACTTTGGGGGTGGAGGAAGGTGGTGGTGACGAGACCGAGGTGGTCGCTGCCCCTTTGGCTGGAGTGGCCTGGCCAGGAGACATGGAGTTTGAGTCAGGAGTGGCCGTGGCTGGAGGGGCAGTGCTGGAGGTCAGCGTGGTGGTCTCGCTGGTGGGGCTGTTCTGAGCAGTGGCAAAGGTTTCAGTGATAGTGTCAGAGTTAGTGGTGCCCGTGGTGACAGAAGGCAGCATGTCCTCCACGGCAGCCGCGGTGTCGGCAGGGTGCCTACAGAGGGGACAGGAGTAGAAGAGAAATAGAGACAATGAAGCCCATAAATGACAGCGAGGAAAGGGGAGCAGAGAGTGAGTGAGGAGGTGCTGCAGCAGCAGCAGGTGGTTACAACACAGACACGACATGGAGAGGGACTCAGAGGAGCAGAGACTTTCAGAGGTCGAACATGCAAAGGGCTGGTGGGATCAACGACGATGACCAGAAAGAGGAAAGAGCAAAGAGGACACGACCTGCAGGAATGGCTTGTTCACGCAGAGTTCTGCTTCAATCTGAGGCAAATGGAAACCTGTCAACTTGCAGAGACTCTTCTCTCTAAGCCTAACTTTCACAGAATCATCAAGGTCAGAAGAGACCTCTAAGATCATCGAGTCCAACTGTTAACTTGTCACTGCTGTAACCCCTAAACCATATCCAGATTTCCTCTCAGCCTCTTCCACCTGACCTGACGAGGAAACTCTCTGAGCCTGCAGCTCTCAGCCTGCAGTGCTGTCACCACACAACCTGGTCCCAGTGCAGGACCCCGAATTCAGCCCCTCATCCTGGCCCTTGCTGCCTGCAGTTTGCCTGGAGGCCTGCAAGGTCCTCACCAAGCCACACAGAGCACACCCCTTCTCTCACAACACACAGACTGAGGCCCCAGTTCAGCTCTCTGATGCAAGCAAAGCTTACAGGTAACTCAGAACAATCACATCTGCCATGGCTTGGCATCACCCAGAGCCCAACTCCTCTGCTGCTCTCCCCACTCATCCTGCCCTGCTTGAGCTCAGGCTCAAGGAGGTGGTGCCAGCTGGGGCTGCTTTTGCTCTGCATCCTTTGCAGACACGTGGACTTCATCTCCACACTGGTCTCTGCCAGCCCTTTCAGCAAACACTGCTTCACTCCCCTTTCCCTTCCAGAGCTGGAACTAGGAGTCATTGAGCCTTGAGGAAGAGAGGAGACACCTCCTCACCGGTACTTCAGAGGGAATGTGGAGGTTTTACCTTTCTTCCTCTCTTCCTGCCCTACACCATGTTCATGGGAGCAGGGATGAGGGCAGTGATGCCCCCGTGCTAGGACTGGCTAGTGCCAACATACTCTGGCTCAGTCAGCGGCGTCGTCTCGTTGGGCTCCGTGTGCTTCCCCCCGTCGTGGTTGGGGGTTCTCTCCTCCTCCGTCCTCACCTCCACGATGGGCTCCTTGGACTCATCCTTCCTGTAACAAGGGAATGGCATGGAGATTGGATCCCACTCCCACCACACATCCTCCTGCAAAGACACGCTGTGAACAGCCACAGTCAATCACAGAAACAAACTGAACACGGGTCAATTCATGCCACTCCTCCTTCACAGCACAGAGGAGCAGTGTGATGTCCAGCACTGAGATGTCCACCACTTGGCCCTGCTATTTGATGGCTACCAACAGGCATGACACAAAAACAGAGCAACAACTCGAGAAACCACCTTGGGAGTACAACACACAACCAGGATGGCCCCAGACCTTCCCAGCACCCATGAGAGAACCCCCAATGCCCTGAAACAGCTGCTTTGCTGGAGCTGTGAGAGGAGAGCAGAGAAGGGGCAGTGCAGGGCAGTACTCACGAGAAGGCAGCTTTGCCCTCCTCCATGTCCTTGCCCTTGGCCCCCGGGCCGGACTTGCCGCAGAGGTTGACGGCGATGCACATCAGCAATCCACACTTGTTCAGGAAGTAGCAGGTGACATCCACAGCTACCAGCAGCAGCACAAAGACAACCACCAGGATGCCTATGATGGCAGCAGTCCCCAGGCCTGAGGTAGGGCTAGTGCTGGCTTCAGAGGCCGAGAAGAGAAGAAGAGAAGAAGTTGTGGTTAGAAGTTGAGTTTTGGTTAGTTAGGGCTCGAATTTGGCTACTCTCAGGTTGCAACATGGGAAGCTTTACAGAGAGTTCATCCTCTCTCTAGCAGCTTTGTGATATGACCAGTGCTTTATCCTACAGACATGCAGGACAGTCTGCCCGAAAAGGTGGATTCAGGTGGACCTGAGAGGGCTTTTCCCATCTCTGCTGGGATAAAGCCTGGAAAGCAAAGTGCAGAAACATCTCCTGCTGTGGCTTACACCCAGCTGGGACTCTGCAGGGCTCCTCGACATCAAGGGTCCAGAGGGACTTTAGCAGGACTTGTCCTGGTGGGATACACAACACTGGGTGGTACCTGTAGGGTCTCACCCCTTTTGTGGTGAAACTGGAAGGAGCTAAACCCCTTCCTACAGCTCAGGTTAGATCCAGAACTGGAGAGGGATGAGCTGTTCATGGCTTATCCAGAGAGCTGAGCTCCCCAGTGAGTGCTCAGGGGTGTTTTGCACAGGTACAGACCATCCAGGAGCCTCCTGAGGAAGCAGGTGGTGGAGACAAGCAAACTGGCACTGCACTGGCCACAGCAGCTCCCTCCTCTCCACACCCAATCTCCACCATCATCCCCAGCCAGAGAATGGAAAGCAATACCTTGTTTTCTCCAGGAGACAAAGGGACAGCAGGTGAGAGGTGGTGCTGGTGGCCTGGGCAATGCCCTGTGTGGGGTTCCCACACAGTGCTAACTCCAGGGGAAGTAAGTGCCTTTAGCTTCCTACCTGCTTGGAAAGTGCTGAGGCTTCCTCAGAGACAGGGAGTGGATAAACATAGCAGTGAATCCTGCCAAAGCCTTTGATCACCACAAACCCACCAGGCACAGCCTTGAACACTGCCAGCTGCAGCTCCCCAGCCCCTTCCTAGCACAGCCTGAGCACAAGATGCTCTTTGTGGCCCTGGTTTTGCTCAGGGTACTTCTGGCCAAGCTGCTCATCTGCAGGCAGAGCACTTGGCTGGTGGCTCACACAGCTCAGCACCCATTGAGAGGTACCAAACGACTCAAAACCTGTTTGCTAATCTCAACCATCACATAATTCACCTCCCAGGATGGGACTGACCACACACCTGTGCCTCTGCCAGCTGATGATTCCTGAGACAGCTGAACAAGACCACCATGGGTGGCATCATCTGTGGGAGAATTTTGGGGGTTTCTTTCAATTTTAGTCATTTCTACTGCATTTTGCACTCTGCATGCCACAACCCCTCAACTCTTGGGATCCTGTCTTTGCAGAAACACCCAGCAAAGCTCCTCTTTCCCCTCAGCCCCTTTGACAGGTGAAAAGATCCTTCCCAGGGCTCACACAGTCAGCCATACCCTTTGCTTGCTTAAAAATAGGAGACAGAAAACATCCTTAGCATGAGGGAGATAAGTTGTTTCATTTGGTGACCCTGAGATGTATTAAGGAACACACACTCCAGTTTCTTTCTGCACCTGAGTGACTCTAACAGCCACTCTGAGGCATCTACTGGCCATGAGTCCCTTCCCTGCTGAGCACAACACTGTCCCCCAGCCCAGGCCCTGCAGCCTCTGCCTGAAAATTAAATGAATCAATCACTGTGCAGGGAGTGAGGAGGTCATGGGTTTTCCCTCTTCTAATGTGTTCAGGACCTTGTGTGAGCTGTTCAAGCATGAATATGTTCCTGTTCACATCAGCTCCTGGAGAAAAGGCTAAAGATTTGTCAAACTTCTCTTCCACATCACCTGTCTGGGAAGGAGCTCCTAAAAGGCACTAAGCATCCAGTCAAGATATTACAGGGTGATAGTTCCTTATCCCGGTCACCAGAGCTGGAGGGACACAAAATATTTCATCCTGGGACAGCTGGAATTTTCCCATGTGCTAGGAAACATCCTATGGAAAATTCCATTCCAAGGAGAGTCCTACTCTGCCTCCTCTCCCACAAGCCCTGTCAGCATCAGCTCTAAGCCCCTTCAAGTCAGGAATTATCTGTGGCATAAACCACACCAAGAGCCTTATCCCTTGCCCACACCTTGTCCCTTATCCCAGGTGATTGAGGGAAGGAGCACAGTCCTGGGGGAAGAATTAGGAAGATCAATCCCTGGACACTCAGTCAGTGTGAGCTCAGCCAGGATCATGGAGGGATAAACCAGGTCACTCTGCCCTGGCAGCAGAACAGCACATACAATAAAGGCACTTGGAGTGGAGGGGGAAGATTCTAAGGCTGGAAACAGAGGGAGAGTGAGCTCAGGCTAGGAATAACACATGGAATTGCACCCACAGGATGGCCGAGGACACTGAGCTTCCAGGAGTGACTGTGCTGTCCAGGAACTCCAGCACCAAGTGCTGCTGTACCTGGAGCACTGACTGCCCCTGAAACTTGGGAACCCACAGCACAAGGTGCCAAACCCACTGACCTCCACATTCCCAGAGACCCAATTCCTGCTCTGAGAGCCACAGAACAACTCTGTTCCCTGTGAACACCCAAAGGAAAACTCCTGAGCAGGCACAGCCTCCCCTGCTTGTTTCCCTCTCCCCCAAAGCCATTCTCTGCCCTGCTCTGCCCCAGGAGGAGGAGGAGGAGGAGGAGAGGAGAACCAGGGCAAATCTGCAGAGGAATGTCCTTGTTTCTGTGCTATTCTGGGCTCTTGTGTTTCAGACAACGAAAGTGGGCCAAGGTAATTGCTGCAATTTGCCTTTTCTAGGCTGGTAACAAAGCTCTGCAATTTTCAAGAGCTGTCAAACCTCTTCCACTACTTGTGGCTTTATAAATTCTAATCCATGGCACTAATTGAGATCCCAAACCTCAAACCTCTTCCACTACTTGTGGCTTTAGAAATTCTAATCCATGGCACGAATTGAGATCCCAAACCCTTCAGAGAAGAGCAGCAAGAAGAGTAATCTCACATGACCCCAGGAACTCGGAGGCTGTTGGTGCTGCATTTCTTCCTTCTCCCTCTACTCTCTACAGGAGTTTTGTTGTTGCTACAAAGTGCAGGAAGAATGGAGGATATGGCTCAGTTTTTCACAGACTGTCACACCTGGTTAAATCCAACTGATCTACAGATACTTTTAAGAACTCTTCACTCCATCCCAAAGCTGAATTCGTGTTGTATTTAACCAAACTAATATTTAGACATCCCTGAGGAGTTTGTTGGGACCTGAGACAATTCCAGGTACAAAAGAAATGTACAGATAAACAGTTAGAATCATAGAATTTAAGGGTTGGAATGGACCTTGCTGATCATCCACACCCTTGCCAACAGTCTCTCCATCCTTCCTGCAGCTCCTGCAGGTACAGTACAGCCCCACACCCTTCACTTCTCCAGGCAGAATGCAAAAAGCAAAGGGTGACACAAAAATTCTCTTCTCAGGAGTAAAGGAGGCAGTGGAAAACCACACCATGTCCACTACTGTGGTGACTCTTGCTGCACTTCAGTGACTCTAAGGTGTAAACCCCAAAGCTCTAACACATTTCCTATACTCCAAACCACTGGAAGTGAGAGGGGTTTTGAAAAGAAACAAATCCACAAGCTTTTGTGTGCAACACCTGCACAGAGTTTTCCTTTATAATTTAGATAGAAAAGCAGTTCACAAACCATCATGGACAAGGTCTGAATAAACACAGCAGAGACTTATGTGCAGAGCATAAAACACAGAGTTAGACACAGCTGAGGGCAGGTTTGGTCTGGCCCTATTAGAAGGTTGTTAGAAAGATTAATCCCATCCAACTGAGAAGATCCAAGACATTCTGTACAAACAATTCCATCCTTGGCAACCTCAGGCTCATTTGCAGAGAAAGAGAGACCCAGAGGGGACAGAACCCAATCTAGGAGAGCATCAGAGCCAAATGGATGTCCCATCACCAAGAGAACTCATGAGAGGCTCTGAGTTGGTTGTTGGCTTGGGTTTTGGGTGATTTCTGGTTGTTTTTTTTTGGGGGGGTGTTGTGGGTTTTTTGTAAGTAAGAAGAAAATAAAGTCAACTGAAATTTGTTCCAACAAAAGGCAACACTCAGAACTTGGTGACAGAGCTGAGTTCTACTGCACCAGTTTCCAGCATGGATCAGTCCTGCCTAGTGGTGCCACATGCAGTTACCCAGAGTGTTATTCAGGATCAGTAGTGGTGATTTAGCTGTTTAGGGATCCAAGCTGAGCTGGTCTGTTAGGATGAAAGGGAAGGGATCTCTAGGGAGCAGATCACAGCAGTGGGAACCTGGGAATGTTAGCCAAACATCCAGTGGAGCTGGTGAGCTCAGGGCTGGCTCAGCTCCTCTCAGCCAGGAGACACTCAGGGGCCAAGGGAGTCAACCCAAGGGTTCAAGCTCAGAAAGGAGGAAACAGAAATCTCTTCAGTGCAATTCCCACCGAGGTTTGCAGCCCAAGCAGCACAGCAGGAAAACCTTCAGGTGGCCAGAAATGTGCATCCAAGGCCAAAGCCCCAGAGGCAACCAGAGGGAGGCACTGACACATCTTCTGGCTCTGCTCTGGCCTGTGGGCTCAGCTCCACAGGCCTTTAGCCAGTGCTGAGCAGCACCACAGGGGAGACAGGGGAAACAGGACCTTAAAGGCTTTCACCTTCCTTTGATGAAAACAGCAAACAACACCAAAAAAAAAAATAAATCTTTCTTTACATCCATTAAAAAGGGCAAATTCATTACCAGTAACAAAACCATGTTAAAGAGGAAAAAAAAACTCCGCTTAAACCTTTTCTTTTTTCCTTGTTACAAAATACTTTCAAATTCAACATTGTGAAATGTTCTGTGTTTTTCTTTATTTTATTTTTTTTTCTTTCTCTCTGATCTGCCATGATCCTCTGAAGCAAAGTTATCTGCTCTCAGCCCTTGGTGGCACCTAGGCCTTTTCCAGGCCCTTTCCAAGCAAATATTGCTTTATTTGTTGCTTTTAAGTTTCTAACAGAGCAAAAGCAGAGTCACTGCAGAGAGAAGCAATGAGACAAAGGAGGACGACGTTGATGGACTTCCCAAGGTCGCTGCAGGTGCCAGACAATGGTTCCCAGGAGGGGAAATGTGGTTTAAAACAAATTTGGTGCATGTGGCAAGCGTGGATGTGTCCGGGAGGTCCAGGGTGACATGGATGAGCACAGACAGAGGAGGAGAGGAGTGAGGGCAGGAGGGAGAGGGGAGGGAAGAAAGGAGGAGGAAGAAAAAAAGAAAGAAAGAGAGAGAGAGAGAGAAAGAGAGAGAAAAAAAATAGATAAAAAAAATTAGGTCATAAATATAGAAAAATCATAAGAATCAAAGGTTTATTTAATCTCTAAATTAAAATGGGTCAGGGAGAGCATCAGCACAGTCACAAAGGTCAAAGCTGCAGAGCAGGGCCAAGCAGAGCTGCTGGGGCACGAGCAGATGGGTTAGAACCCGAAGGACACAGCGAGACACAGGAGATGGTTAGCTGGGACAGAGAGGACAACACTGCCTCACACTGCAGCGAGGGAAGAGGAGCTGCTGTGCAGCACAAACACTGCCTGCCCAGGCCCTCCCCAAAGCCTCGTGCACCTGGAGAGCAGAGCCAGGGACTAAGCCCTGAGGAGCACCACAGGGCTCAGGACACACACCTGACTTTGCCTTTCAGCTCCAGCTGCTTGTGAACTGCTCCAATGCCATCAGGACTGGAAAGAACACCCTCAGCCCTGCAGCCACTGTAGGACACTGAGCAGGGGATGTAACCAAGGACTCTACACAACACACACACGTTTGGCCTGCAGGAAGCTCCTGCCTGTTGCCATCAAGCAATGCCATGTCAGAGGCTCTGACTTCCCCTGTGCAGCTCATCGGGGAGACAAAACTGAATGCCATGAGAACAACAAGAGATGCTGAAGGAAAGGAACATACAGAGTCTCTTCCCTACTGCAGTTTGCCACATTCACCTTCACTCCCACAGAGCCTGTGGCTGCTGGGCAGGAAAACCCAACCTGCCCCTGGGAACATGTTCCTCAAGGGTATTAGTTCGGGGAACCAAAGGGGCTGGAAACACACTGCAAGGCCAAAACGACAAAACCCCTAGAGAAAGAGCCACAAACGCAGCAGAAATGTCACTGCACAAGGCTCCACCTGCCCTGAACCACAGCATGGGCTGAGGACCAGCTGATCCAGCTGTTGGCTCAGTCCTGCAGCACATCTGACTCCCCAGACTGCTTTTCCAAGTGTTTCTGACATTGCCAAGTGCAATATCTGAGTACAGCCTCAAATCCTGGTCCCTCCTATGCTTCCCACCAGACTAAGTGAGGAATAACTTCAGAGAGGCCTGAGAAGTTTCCCCTGTGATGACCAACTGGGCTCTCCCCCTTGTTTTCAGAGGGTCCCTGCCCATGTCACTGCTGAATTTCAGGGGCTCAGTGTCACCTCCCATTGCCATGGACTACAGTGAGAACACTGTGCTCCAAAGGCAGCAGCATTCCCAAACTTTGCTGTTTCCCCTGTGCAGGACCTCCCACCTGCCCCAGGTAGCTTTGCTGTCCCACTGGACATGTCACCAAGGCTAGAAGAAAACATCAGCACACGGAACCGACAGTGGCTGCACACAGAGAGCTGTGGTGGGACAAAAATCCTGAGCAGTGCTTGTAACCTGCCCTGGGACACACAGCCCAGGGCAAAGGAACCACTTGCTGCTGCCTCCAGCCTGGGCACTCGGCTGTGCAGCTCTGAACTGACCTCAAGGCACTCTGTGCCCAACCACCCTCACCCTCTCCTGCCACACCAGGCACAGTTGTCCTTCAAATGTGTGAGGGAGTAAGTATTAGAGCTGCTGAAATGAGAATCAGAGAGTGAGTAGCTTGATGAGTTACTGAGGCTCCTTCCACCCAAAACTCCAGCCTTGTTCAACCCCCCCGGGCTCTCTATCCCCACTTCCCTCCTCCCTACCAAACACACTTCCCAAGCCCAAGCCAACTAGGTCACTCATTTGTATGCTCAACGACCTTCTCTGCCCTAACCAAGGGGATTTCAGCACTGGCACTGCACAGGGGTTCAGCTCCTGCCTTCAGCACGGAGGGAGTGGGAGCAGGGGCAAAGCAAGGCAGAGACTGAAGAAAACTCTCCAGTTGTTCTGAAGAGAAGCCATGAGACTGAGTTAGTCTAGAAGACAGAATGAAACCAAATCACTCCCTGCAGTATGGACTGTCAGCACCAGCCGTGGCATGACCACACTTTGCCCTGGCTGTGCAGTGAGGACTGACTGACTCACCACACTAAAGCTCATCCATCTCTTTCACCATCAGAACTCTGATGCACAGGTAGCCCAGCACTTTCCTCCTCAGGTTTTGGTTGGTTTGTGTGGGTTTTCCCCACTCCTTTTTCCCTCTGAATGTCCACATGTAGGAAAGAAACACTAATGGTCCTGCCCACACCTCACAGCTCAGTCTGTCCATCCCAGCTGGGAGTTCTGCTGGGCTTTGTGGCATTTGTGCCTAGACCTCACTGTTTCAGGACACTGAGCAGTACAGACTGTCTTAAACCAGAGCTTCCAGCAGCATCCTAATGCTCTTGAGCTGTTTTTCCTGTTGCCCTCCCCAAGACCCAACCAGTGCTTTAGATATTACAGTCACTTGATCATTTCACCTCCATTTCACTTCGTATCAGAGCAATATTTCCACCACCTCCTTTCCAAGTGCTAGCAAACTCCTCATGCCTTTATTCCTCCAAAGGCTGAGCTGGATGGCCAAAGAAGCAGGAAGCAAGCCCAAAGCAGATTTGGGAGGGAAATCTGCCTTGTGAAAAGCATTTCCCCACGGATCTGAAGGGTCTCTCTGGGTTTAGAATGGGATTGTCACTTTCTGAGTCCAGAAAGTGTTCTCTACCCACTGCTTTTCCCCTCTGGCACTCCTGCCACCCTGCCCCAAGCAGCCAACCCTCCTGCACACAGTGAGAAGGCTTTGTCAGGAAGCTTTCCTACCAGCACTGCTGCTGTACATACTGTAACAGCTCTACAGGTATGTACATGGCCAGAACTGAGCCTGGGATGGGGAACCAACCGTGGTGATGGCTTGAAGCAAGCGAGTTGTCAGGGTTACTCAGGCACATTAAAGGATGCAGCACTGTGGCATTAATTGGAAGCAGAGACCAATGGTAAAGCTGTGCAGCTGTACCTGGGATGACAGTGGGCTGAGCAGAGGTCCTGAAGGCATAGTGAGCTGGTTTGGACTTCCCTTGCTGGTTCTCGGCGATCACATAGACCTCATAGTCTGCGTTCCAGTCCAGGGACTTGAGCATGACGTGGTCACTGCCAGAGGGGAGTCTGATCTCTGGTTTCCACTCCGAGGAATGCTTCTGCAGGGCAGGGGGAAACACAGCACAATGTCAGTCCTGCCTGGGGAGCACTGCGAGGCCTCACCCACACCAGCTCACACTCCTCAGCATCTGTGTCTCATCAGCACACACACACAGCTCCCAGGGGGTCAGGGGATGGTGCCAGGCTCAAGCTGCACCAGGGAAGGTTTAGGTTACACATTAGGAAGAATTTCTTCATGGAAAGGTGGTTAGACACTGGATGTGCTTTCCAGGGAGGTGGTGCAGTCACCATCCCTGGAGGGGTTTGAGGACAGACTGGAGGTGACTCTCAGTGCCATGGGCTGGTGGACAAGGTGGTGTTAGGTCACAGGTGGGACTTGATGATCTCAGAGGTCTCTTCCAACCTGACTGATTCTATAACTGATTCTCTCCATGAGGAAGAGCTTTCCATGGAGGTGGCAGAGCACTGGGACAGGTGCCCAGGGAGGATGTGGATTATCCCTCTCTGGAAGACATTCCAAACCCACCTGGAGAAGAGGTACCAAAGCAGCCTCTTTCCTGCTCAGAATCTTGTCCTCTGCATCACCACACCTGAAGAAAACCCCTCAGTTCCTCCTCTCATTTTTGCTGTCCCATTAATCTACTTTCAGAGGGCAAAAGCTGTGACTTCTGCACACCTCTGCCCTGCAAAGCACTCCAAGAGTGTTTGTGCATATCTCAGCACCTCAAATTTAACTCATGTGAGGGACAGATTTACCTCAGCCCAGGTGTGGCCTGATTCACCACCACCACTGCATTGTGGGTATGGGACAGGCTGTGCCAGTCATACTTACAGCTTTGTATTTGATCAGGTAATGCCTAATTGGGGAGCCACCATCATCCTGCTTGATAACATTCACTTTGATAGAGTTTCCATCTTCTCCTATGTGCCCTTCCAGCTTGGGAGCGCTGGGTTCCCCTGCAACAATGGTGCATGGGTGTTTAGTTGGGAAAAAAACTCAGCAGGGAAAAAATACTCATCAGAAGCAGCAAAACACTTCATCACACTGAGCTCTGCCAGGGCAGCACTTCCACCCTGCCCCAGGCACAACTGTGTGTCTGGGGCACAAATATCTGCCACACACGACTACTCCTGGAGTTTGGGAGTTAATTCACTGACACAAATCCCCACTTCTGTGTGTGCTGGAAGGGAGTCAGAGGCTAAGTGACAAAGATCCAACCCTCCCCCAAGATGTCCTAGAGCAATGATCATTTCCTCACTGGTTTGGTTGGAGAAACTGATGTGAAACACCTGGAAAACGCCAAGAACGTGGCAAAGAGGTTTTCCTGGGAGATGTGGATGGAAAGAGCAGCACTGCAAAGGGACACTGTGCCCCTCACACACCCCTGTGTCTGCACTTTGGAGCCTCTTTAGGTTCTAGAGCTGCTGGACCAGAGACACACCTGAAATGAGTGTGGAAACCCAGAGCAGAATCCCACAGCTCATCTCTGAGCTGTGCTAGGGACTGTGGCAGTGAGAGCAGCTGGAGAGAACCAGCCCCTTCACTCATCTTAACAACCACTTCTGAGAGAAAAAAGCTGTTCCTTCCCAATTTTCAGCCCTGCCAGCAGCAGCAAATGGAAATGTCAGCAGCTCCTGCAGGGCTCCCTATCTACAGCCTCAGCCCAGCACCCAGAGCTGCTCCAGCTCCTTCCTAAACTGCACACACAATGTTCCCCAGCCCAGTCCAGCACCTCCTTCCTGCTCTAACACTGCCAACACAGCCAGAGCCACACACTGGCTGATTCCCTACTCACATCCTCTCTCCCTCCTGGCACTGGAGAACACTGGCATTCCCAACCTCTCCATAGGTTTGAGCACACCCACTGCTTCCAGAGCAGCTGCAGGTGGCAATGGCAGCAAACTCCTGGGCTGAATTCACTGCTCTCAGCTCCCAACTCTTACAGTGTTTTATCTAACAGTCAAAGTGGCTGAATGTTACACAGCAAAAGGTTAAACCCTTCTGTTTAACCAGTTATGCATCTCTGATGCACTTGGGAAGTATTAATATCCCTTTCTATGTATCCAGGCAGTATTTCTGAGGGGTGAACAGCTCAATTACAGGCACCTTATATCCAGAGAATCCAAGGCTCATCCTGAGCTGTTCACCTTCAGCCCCAAACACCCACCCAGGTTTGCAGTGCTGAGCACACTCCTGACTGTTCTCCCTCCAGCTCTGCTCAGACACCTCTGCCTCCCCTGCAGTCCCACCTGGCTCTGCACCAGGAGCTCTCCTGCACACACACTCCCAGATATGCCAAGGTGGGGTGAAACACAGGTCAGAAACGATCCAGGGCTGGATGGATCCCAAAGAGAACACCACCAAAACTCTGCAGCAATGACACCTGTGACCTGAGAGCCTCAACTTAAGCAAATGAGAACAGAACCAAATGCTGAAGGAACATTTGTGGCTTCTCACAGCTCAGCCTGCTGCACAGCACTGAAAGTGAAAGGGAAAAATAAACCAGGAATTGCACTGAGATCAACCCAAAATTCTCAGTCCTAATCTGTTCTGTCTGGATTTGTGTTCAGCTGCTCATGGAGAACATATGAACTTCTGACTGACCAGAGAAAGGTTCAGCTTCCAATGCCTTTCAAAAGCTCATTGGCAATGTGAAGCCTTTCCCTCTCCCCTTCCCTCCAAAGGAAGAATCTGAGCACATTTCCTTTCTCAAACAGCAATGGGAAAACTGCAAGACCTGAACTGAACCAGGAATTAGGATGAATTCCATTTCCCTGCACACTGTGACAAGCTCCAACACACAACTTACAGTCCCTGGGCACACAGATGTGAGACACAAACACTTGTGTTTCCCAGCACAGCAACTTCTCTCAGGGATGCAAAGAGGCAAAGCTCCTTTGCTCCAGGTTATCCTTTGTTTTCCAAATCCTGAATCCCCTGACAAGGCTCCCAGGTGGAGCTGGACACTGCAGAGCTGGATTCCATCCCCTGGCAGGTGATGCCCCTGCAGGGACCTCTGGTGTGGTCTGAGGCAGCTCTGAGCAGGAGCAGCTGTCCCTGTGCTGCTCTGGATGAGCAGCAGAGCCTCACCTGGGCACACCCAGCACCAGGTTAACCAAGCTATTGGATTTGCTCTTTCCTCCACCCTAAAAGACAAACATCACCACAAGTTACTGGTTTGGCTAGGATGTGGTTTGAGCTGAAGAAGCTGTTGTGCAGTAACTGAGTATTCACCAAGGATGAGACAGCCCAGAAGCAAATGTCTGGTTCTGTTGTTCTTCCCCCAAGAATGAGCTCCCAGGAGCAAACAGCAGCTCGTGGCAACTTAATCAGGGTGGACACTGAAGCACTTGGCACTGCTGAGACCTTTCTGAGCAGCAATGCTCAGCTCTTGGGAGAGGTGAGGAATGGCTTCACTGCCAACTGGTCAGCACCAAATCCTGGTCCTCTGCCCCATCCTCATCCCAGAGAAATCACCAATAACAAGCAAAGAGACCCTGAGGTGCTAAGGGAACACTGTACTTACAGAGTTTGACCTTCCATCCAACACAGGGTAGGTTTTTCCAGTGATTGAGCACCAAAACTAACAGGAACATCCCATGATGCTCATTTTTGAGTTCCAATGTCAGAGAAGCTGCTGCACACACAGCCATTCCCACAACCACCTGCTCTGAGGAAACTTCACTTGGAATTAGCTACTTTCTGGCTCCTGATTCCTTCCTCCCCCAAGAGCTAAACTCACTCCTGCTCTAGGAAACATTCAACAGGAGAGCCCTGCCCCTCCCGAGGGCTGAAAGCAGGGGTGGAGCAGTGTGAGCCCTGCAGAGTGTGCTCCAGAAACACGTGGCATTTCACTCCCCTTGGGCAGGGGTGATCCAGAACAGGCTGCAAAATTAAAATGGGTTAGTGTGTCAAACAGAGGAGGAAGAAGTTTAGTGGGAAAAGTTTAGTCCAGCAGAATCAGCAACCCTATAATGAGTGAAGATGTCAGTAGCTGAAGAGAGAAGGTTGTCATCAGCAGGTTAGAGAAGAGACTCATGCTCACAGACATGCATCCTCCCTACAGCACGGGGGCTGCAAAGCAAAAGAGCATTACAGAGGGTGCTCCATGCCTGGGGGGTCCCATTTACACCGAGCTGACAGGACACATTGCAGAAATCTGCCCCTTCCACACATCCCAGAGGTCTTTTCCAGCCTCACTCACTCTGCAGAACGTTGGGACCCTTCAGCAATCTCCCTGTGCTGCTGCTGCTGCTTGGCTTATGGAGGACAAACAGCTCCACACACACCAGACTTGCTCTGTACGGTCATTTTACAGACATCTCTGTGCTTAAACCCCAGTGAGCTGCAGGGGGAAGGATTCAGCCTGAGCCCAGTTCAAGCTTCACCCACAGGAGATCCCTCAGCAAAAATCATGCAAACAGGTGCTTTGGCTGTGGGAGAAGCCAAGAGTTGTGCCTTCCTTTTCCAGCAATGAGTTTAACCTCCAGGAGGGAAGCAGCTGGTGCTTTGCTCTGGTGGGAGCACAGGGCAGGCCCTGCATGAGGTCCTGTCTGGGCACACATCTCTGTGCAGCTCAGACACCTCCTCCTCGGGCTGCAGATGGAACTCACTATCAATGTGACCAACTGCTCATGCACCAAGGACCGTGCAGGCTGCCAGAGCCTGAGCCCGAGTGTGACCAACTGCTCATGCACCAAGGACTGTGCAGGCTGCCAGAGCCTGAGCCCTCCCTGCCAGCTCCACCCGAGCTGCCAGGGCACCTGAGGACAGAGCTCTGAGCCATTACACTTCCCAATTATTCTCCCTGGCTCCTGCTGAGCCATTAGCACCAATAATCACCAATAATCTGCTGCAGGGAGGCAGTGAATGTTTCCTGCTCTCCCCTCTCTGTTTAGTTTGCATTCAGTGCTCTCAGGGCCTGATGCTCCTGTGATGCAGTTGGATTTCAGAACCTAACTGGGTTCATTACCTGGTTTTCAGAGCAGCAGGAGTGGCTGCAGCTGGGCTGGGAAGTTCAAGTGGGGAGGGAAGAGGATGTGAAAAAGCAGCACAAACTTTTCCCCAGTCCCAGGGCACTGAGTGTGTGCTGAGCCCAGAAGTGACACAGTGCAGGGGAGAGACCTTTTCTCTGCTCCCATCCAATGTGTTCCTTCTGCCCCCTGGGAAAGCAGCTCCAGTTGGTTACCAGACACTGCAGCACTTCATGCTGAGCTGAAATCCTTGCCCAGCTGGCAGCAAGGAGAGATCCTGCATCCTCTCTCTGTGCCCAGAGCATCCAACTGCTGCTGCTGACAATTCCTGCCACCCAGGAAGGAGGGAACAGCTGATTTCTGCAATCTTTGGCCATCATGTAAACAGGACTGGACTGTGACCCACAGAGTCACAAACAAACACCAGGGAGAGTGTCCACGAGTGGGAAACACACGGAGAAGGAAGAGGGTGGGAGGCTGCAGAATGCACACAGGAGAAGCAAACAACAGTCAAAATAAGGAACAAAACCAGAAGAACATGCAAAAACGAGACAACCAAGTCCTCAACCCTCCTGGCTGTCACCCAGGGAGGGGAGAGAGCAGAACCCCAGAGGGTTCTCTGTGCATGCAGTGATGTGGGAAGGTTACTGGTGTTAGTTTCCCTGGCAAACCCCAGCTAACTCCTGTCCTGGGGGTGCTCCAAGGCAATAAGGTGATTCCAGAACTCACAGACTGCAAAAAGCCAATTGCTCCCAGGTTTTCACAGGTCCTGGTTTAGCTGGGGAAGCAGAAAAGCAGGAGTTCCCCTCCCTCCCCCCTTCAACTATGCAGAGTATTCCGTGAAGGTGTAAAAATCCCAGTGTTGCAGGAATTGTTTTCACTACCAAACACTTGACCTGGACACTGAGTCCAGCCCCATGAGGGTCAGTCATTTGCTCCTGCACTTGATGGAGATCAGCAGCTCCTGGCACAGGAGTTCAGTACATCCTGCAGGCTCTGGGACAGTGGAGGAACGAGAGGTTCTGGTGAGGAAGGTGCAGCAGGACCTGTGAAGTCTAACTGCAGCAGGAACTCTGGGTGTGCTGGGACACACTATTTTACACAGTATTCACTATCTGGCAGAATATATACTGCACACAGTAGACACATAGCTCCACATCTACTGTGGGGTGTGTGTATATGTGTGGTATTTTAGAGTGTATCTCCCATTCTAGCTATGGGTAAGTTTTACTCACAATCAAAACACTTATTTCTCCCATCCTGATGCAAAATCCTTCCCAATGACTCAAAGATTCCTTTAGAAGGCTACTAAACATGCATAGTGTTAATGTGTGTCTATATATCTCTAAGTGTATATTATGTAGGGTAAAAATGCTGCTAAAACAAGAGGAGAAGGTGTTCCCTGGGTATATAGGGAAAAAATGCTGCTAAAACAAGAGGAGAAGGTGTTCCCTGGGTATATAGGGTTCAAATGCTGCCAAAACAAGAGGAGAAGGTGTTCCCTGGGTATATAGGGTTCAAATGCTGCCAAAACAAGAGGAGAAGGTGTTCCCTGGGTATATAGGGTTCAAATGCTGCCAAAACAAGAGGAGAAGGTGTTCCCTGGGTATATAGGGTTCAAATGCTGCCAAAACAAGAGGAGAAGGTGTTCCCTGGGTATATAGGGTTCAAATGCTGCCAAAACAAGAGGAGAAGGTGTTCCCTGGGTATATAGGGTTCAAATGCTGCCAAAACAAGAGGAGAAGGTGTTCCCTGGGTATATAGGGTTCAAATGCTGCCAAAACAAGAGGAGAAGGTGTTCCCTGGGTATATAGGGTTCAAATGCTGCCAAAACAAGAGGAGAAGGTGTTCCCTGGGTATATAGGGTTCAAATGCTGCCAAAACAAGAGGAGAAGGTGTTCCCTGGGTATATAGGGTTCAAATGCTGCCAAAACAAGAGGAGAAGGTGTTCCCTGGGTATATAGGGTTCAAATGCTGCCAAAACAAGAGGAGAAGGTGTTCCCTGGGTATATAGGGTTCAAATGCTGCCAAAACAAGAGGAGAAGGTGTTCCCTGGGTATATAGGGTTCAAATGCTGCCAAAACAAGAGGAGAAGGTGTTCCCTGGGTATATAGGGTTCAAATGCTGCCAAAACAAGAGGAGAAGGTGTTCCCTGGGTATATAGGGTTCAAATGCTGCCAAAACAAGAGGAGAAGGTGTTCCCTGGGTCTGATCCTCCACCAGCTCCAGCTCTGGGGTTGGTACCCAGAGAGGCACAAGGGCTTTGGCCATCAGTGTTGATGTGCTGAGTGTTCCAGAACCATCCTAGGCTGGACCTAGAAGCAGGACTAGAGTGAAGCAGCAAATGATTGAGCCACATGATTTCTGTCTGGGTTTTGGTTTTCCCTCCAAGTGTTTTCCAGCTCAGTGCAGCAGCTTGGAGTTGAGTCCTTCACATGCAGACAGTGATGAGCAAACTTCTCCTACAGGCTCGTGGTTTGGAGTGATGGAATTTGGAGCTCCCTGGCCAGTGACCAGAGGGGAATCCTCACCCCAAGCTAGGCAACCAGTCAGAACAAAGTGTTTTACCTTCTGTTCACCAGCGAGGACGACATCAGCAGCACCATGCAAGCCACATGACAAACCACATGATAGGCACATGATTTTGGTTGAAAGGAAAGTGGAGGAGGTCACATGGAAAATACAAAAAAATTAAAAAACTGATGTAAACAATGGGCAAGGGAAAAAAAATCAACAACAGAATTACAGAGTAAATAAACCAGGAGCAAACTCAAACCAGGCATTGTATCTCAGGAGCACTGGGGACACAGCCAAACCCTGCAAAACAAGAGTGTTAAAGCACACAAGGAACACACTGAGTGATGACCTGGGGTTAGGCACAGCTGTGCTGCTGCTCACTGACACTGAGCCACAGGACAACAGGGACAGAGCTACTGCAGAGGGTGTGCCAGGGCTGCTGGAGAATCCACAGGACTGCTGGGAAGAAAAGGGAGTGTTGTTATTGTTGGGGCACAAACAGCCCCAGCAGGACCAACCCTGGGGCTCCCACTGACGTGTCCTCCCCCTGCAGAAACAAACGTCTTCCTAAACAACAACAGAGAGAAAAACCTGCTCTGTGTGAGCATTCCCAAGGACAGATTCCCACCAAGGAGCTGCAGCCAGAGCTGGTTGGGGTGAGAGTGACCCTAGCCCTGACCCAGCCAGGCTGGGGCTCAGCCTGGGCATGGCTCTGTGTGTGCAAGGGGTTTGTGGCACTGAGGGGAGGTGTGAAGTGCTCTGGAAAGCAGTTCCAAGGCTGGCACGAGGCAGGCAGCAGCTGCAGGGAGAGATGAAGGAGTGAGCAGAGTGGGGAATGGAGAGCACCAGTTGTCAGGCTGGAGCACAGCACTGAGTCCATGCTCTGCTTCCCTCCCTGCATTACCAGCTACTCCCTAACTTGCATTTCTCACGCTCCTTCCCCTGTCTCATCTTAATGAGGCTCCTTCCCAGTGCTCTGGCACTGCCCTGCTCATTTGATGGATAGAGAATTAAACCCTTAATCTTTTGGGTGCTTGTCTCTGACAAGATTAAGGACATACCATTACCAGGGAAAAACTGATGGTGCAAAATGTAAAATCCATTTGTTACAGCTAAGCTTGCAATCCATTCTCTGCAGCTATAAACAGACTCCCAGACCTCTGGGTGCAGGAGGGAAGTTTAAGAGTGGCTGTGAGACTGCCTGGAAAGGCAATCAGTGTCTTCTGCTCATGAGGAAACATCTCCAAATCTCCTGTAAGCTTAATGTAGCATGAGACTTCCAAACAGGCAAAGGAGGAGTTGCCTTTCAGATCATGAGACAAAGCTTGAGTTAAAGGGCAAAATTAGCAGCTCAAATCTCATAGACTGGTTTGGCTTGGAAGGACCTTAAAGCTCAGCCAGTTCCACCCCTTGCCAGAGCTCCTTGGGATGCCCAGAGCACCTCGTACCCAAGAATGAATATAACAGACTTTATAGAAAACCCACTCAGCTTTCCACCTGCTCTTTCTCAGTGTCCTCCACCTCCCTCACCCTGCAAACTCAACCTCTTGGCTTGTACCTAGCAAACATGACAGAAGATCCTATAGGTTCTAGAAAATCAGGAGACCAGATGGAAGAAACATTCCAATTAGTACCTCAGCTGAAAGCAAATGCTCCTTTCCAAGTGAGCCCAAACACTGCAAAGGCACAAGAGATCCCACAGTGGAGAGAGCTGCAAGAAAAGCTCCATCACTGCCACTGGCACCCAACTATTTACTGGAGCAGCCTGAGAGGATTGAGCCCAAGGAGATACATGTTCCCAAATCTTCCATGGCTATACACATCTCCCACATGTTACTGATCACATCAAGGCAAACACTAAACTGTGTGAGGAAACTCTCTCCAGCTTCATTAGGTTGCTATCCCTGACTTCCTGCTGCCACACAGCAGCTCTAAATTCCTAACTGCTCCTGGTTTCATTCACTGAACCACTGGGGTTAGGGGAGGGTGAAACACGAGCTCATTCAGCAGCAGCAGCAGCAATAATTAAAGGATGCAAAGCTCTCAGAGCATCTGCCCCGAGCCACTGCCCTTTCTGCTGCTGGATGTCTCATACTCCTGTGCTGCAGAACAACTCAGCATACAAATGTGGCTCCTCCTGGCAGAAATTTGGGCTAGACACAAATGAGAGCTCAGATCTGCTTCTGGGCAGGAGAATAACCTGAGCTCAAATGTAGGTGAAAATGGAAACTTTTACCCTTAAAAACCCCAACATTCCTACACACACACAACCTCCTGCCCCAAGCAAAAAAAACACTGTGGAACATGTTTAGCATGAACTACCTCTTGTATCACTTCTGGGTAACGACTCTTTGTAAGGAACAACATGTTCTGCAGAACATTAACCCAACTCTGAGCCCACACTAGGACAGCCACAACGGAGTCTGTGCCCTCTGAGGGAGCAAGTGCCACCACTTGGCCCTTAGTCCTCTCCACCCCAACCTCCAGGGCTGGTGAAAGGTTCTCTCCAGCAGCACAGACCCACAAACACTCGAGGGCACCAGCTGTGGTTTGGCACGTGGGTCCCTGAGCAACACTGCCAGGAGGAACACACTGATGACCACTGGCAGACAAAGGACATTTCATGCCCTCTGTAAGACCATATAAGTTGCCAGGCAGAAAGGCAAATTCATTCCTGGGCCTAGCTGTGCTGTCCTCTCCCTCCACCCCAAACCCACCACATACTCCATGCTTTTAGTATGTGCCATGAGGAACCATCTCTGACCCAGCCCAGGGAAGCACAGAGATCTCCTGCTCTGACACTCACACAGACACAGACACTGGATTATTACACAGCACGAGAAAAGCATTTGGCTCTGTAGAAATGATTAGTTGTTCAAGTCACACAGATGCACCAGGTCAACCTAAGTCTTCCTCAAGGGTTTTTCTTCTTCTCCCATGACTTTGTGGTAAATATTTGCTTGGCTTTCCCAGTGTCATGTCCTACTGGTAGGGTCTAAAATCCAACACGTGTCACCCACTCAGTGCCAGGCAGGTGTAAACTGAACCCTGAGCACGTTCCAAAACGGATGTTTCAAAACACAGTTATTTTAGGTACAAATCAACCAATGCAAGTTTTAGCTGGTTTTCCTTGCACTGCTCAGATCCAGTGGCACTGGGAATAGCCTCCTACCCAGAAAGGAACTGGGCAAGAACTCAGGAAATCAAAACCCATTTCCCAGTTCAGACAGGGATTCCTTGGGAAGCCTTAGACCTGTCCTAAGGCAAGGAGGGCACTGGGGGTAAGGGGGGCAATGTTCCCTCTGCCCTCTAAGATATTCCTGCTCCTCCTTTTCATCTCCTTTCAGCATCCAACACCCATAGCTTCAATGTATAAACTGTATAGATATAACTGTATAACACAATAGTTTTAACTGCATCTCCCTATATCCAGGGAAAACAGAGCAAGACAGGTGAGGAGAGGATTTACTCCACATCCCTCTGACACTAAAATCACTAATGGGAAACGTGACAGGAAAACATTCCTTTTGGAAGTACTAAGTTATAGTTACTTTTTCCTCTTTCTCTCCCTCTCTGTGCTGCTCCTAACCCTTTTATTCCCACATTCAGCTCATGCTTGGCAGGGTGATGGGAAGAGGAGGAAGAGTGGCCCATGCAGGATCTTCACATGCTCACCACCACACACCAGTGCCAGACTGTGGGTTAGCAGACATGAAATAATGCAATGTAGCCCTGGAATTCCCTGGACAAAGGGCTCCAGCACCACAAGCAGCACTCCAGAGCAAGGGCAGCAGTTCCAGCTACT